ACTGGGAAACACTTTCATAGAACGTCCTTGCTCATTAAAGCTTTTAACCACAAGTTTAGACTGGATCTGGAGCTCAATACGTAAGTACTAAATAATTTATTTTCAAGCTTTTACATTTCAAACAACAAGGTTTTCTTTGTCATAATATTTTATTCTTGAAAAAAGAAATTTTACTTTAATGACCGTGAGTTATAGAAAAAATTAAAAGCAAGCCGAAAAAGATTTCTTAAATATCTTGAAGACTGTAAAAGAAAGTCTTATGATGAGTGGCCTGAAGCACAAGGAAGAGATAATAATGACGTACTTTTCGGTCAATTTCCCTTTCTTTCCTTGATTTCAACCAAGCTGTAATGGACGATTCAAAAAGCAGCTCATCTCGATTTTTTTTTTTTATTTGGCGAGTAGGTGGATCAGGAAAACGTTTCGGTGCTTCATCTCTGTCCGACCAAAGTCTCCGGTGTCAAGAGAATCAATTTATCATAGCAAGTACACGGTGGTAGAAGTGAACGTTTTCATTTTGTGAAAACTAGCCCAGGGCAATTGTTGATAGTATCGTTCATTCTTTTCATTAAAAGTGAAATATCTCCTAATTAACAAAATCAAACAAGACCTTATTTATTGAGTTTGTTAAGACGTATTTATTGAGAATTATGCTGTCGGAGAAAATCAAAATTTATAGTGCTAGAAAGAATAATCAAAAATTCAATTTATTACATTATAAAATTTACTAAAAGCTAAACGAGATCAAAATATAAAAACATAATAAGAATACGAACATTCATGACGCTCATGTTCCGTTAAAACCATCTTCAGAGATAGATTTTTAAGGTTGTGTTTATAAATTCATTTCACATTTGAAAAATGACAAAAAGGAGGGAAAACCCAAAAGGAGTGGTTGAGATGGGAAGTTAGTGTCCGAGTGGATCGAGGTCACGATAGCTCAAGTGGTAGAGCAACGGCGTATCAAGCCGAAGATCGTGGGTTCGAATCCCGCTCGTGACACTTACTTTTTTATCTCAATTAAAAACCTTAATTAGTTGTGTTTATAACTGATAACATCATTGTGATGACAAGTGTGATTAGTATTATTTTTGTAATATAATAAATAAAACCCATTCTTTTTTTATTGACATAAAAACGGCATCTGACTCATTGAGTCATTCCTCATTTTTTTCTAAAAATGTGTGGTGATTAGTGACCGTTAATCGATATTTATTTAGAAATCGTGATATGCTGTCTGGTGTGATGTAGGTTTCAGAAAAACATTTTCTTAATCGTGCCAACATTTCGATCTTTATTGAGATCATCTCCAGGGCCTGAGATTTACAAAAATTGTTTACATATAACAATTACATTTTGGATGTGGAAAAGGGAATTTATACAATGCAAAATATATTTTTTATATATTCAATTAATGTATTTCTACTCACTCAAAGTGTTTGTCTTCTGTGTAATTGTTCCATTCTTGCGTGTCGTGTCGAGAGTGCCAGTGAGATTTTGCTATTTTGCGTTTATATACGTTGGATTTTGAAGGGGTGGGGAAGGATGTCGGTATAGGAAAGACATTTTTGTATAAGGCGTCGGCTTCTTGTCACCTCAAAGAAGGCCCTGAAGATGATCTCAATAAAGATCGAAACGTTGCCACGATAAAGAAAATGTTTTTCTGAAACCTACATCACACCAGACAGCATCCCACGATTTCTAAATAAATTTTCTAAAAATATATAACCTAGGTGTCCCGTCCAAGTTCATGTCGTTCTTAATGTGGTGCTTTCTAAGTCTATGGAGTCAATTGTGTCTGAATTTTGTAAAATACGGGCTGTGGTGAGTCAGGGATGTTTACTTATCCCAATTCTATTTTCATTTATTGTAGTACACCTTTCTGGGATTCAGGGTGGTATTCTTATTGAAGGCACAAAAATAATGATTTTGTTCTATGCGGACGAACTTTGTGCTTGTTGCAGGTAACCCTTCTTCCATGCAAGCAATTATTAACATAGTTCCCATCATATTGAAATCTATGAAATTTAGCAATGAATTTTTCAAAAAAAAATTTTTTTTTGACTCACTGCGTCCGAAAAATAGCTATTATAACAAAACTATTATTAAGAGTTGTTTATCATTAGCCAAGATTGGCCTGAATAGAATCTTTCATAATTCCCTCATTAATAAAACTATAGCATCAAATCCTAAATTGCAACTCTTTAACATTGTTTTGGATGTTCTAATGTGCTATGGTCGCAAAATTTGGGGTGGTCCAAATGTTGGAGAAATTTGGAAGAATTTTCTGAAAAACCAATTGCCACCAATTTTACGCCCAACTTTTTTTTCTGGAAATTTAGGGAAAACAAATTTAGGGGGCGTCGATGGACCCAACGGATTAGGCGTTGACACGGCGCTCATTGCTGTAAGGTAAAGTTCCCGGGTTTGAATCCAGCCGTCCTGCATTCGGACCCGTCATACTTACAAATGGGCTTTTTTTCAAAAACACCGGCATCCTGAAGGTTTATATGACCTCTGCTGTTGCGAACCCACGTAAAAAAAATATATACAAAAACAAATTATAAAAAAAAATCTAGAAACATCTAATCCTATTCCTTGAAACTGCATATATAATACTGTTCAAAAATCCTTTCTATAAGCAAGTATCGATCATTAAAATTATTTCTCTTGATATGATAATAAGACGAGGGCCTCATCAGAAGGAATTTATCATGGCGATGGATATTATGTATTCATCTTTCCTTTGATATTTTACTGATGATTATTATTATTACTATAAATTAAGAGAGAAAACGGCAATAGATAAGTAGATAGATAGGTAGTTAGAAAAAATATGGAGAAGAGCGGGAGTAAAAGATAGAGAGATCAATGAAGCTGAGAATTTTAAGGTTAGATAAATAGATCGCTAAATGTAAATAAATATATATTTTATATTTTATTATATTATATTTTAAAATATATAACCATAAATAGGTTGTTTCAAAAGACTTGTTAAAATATCTTCGAGAAAATTGAGTTGTTACTATTGTTCTGAAGTGTGAAATAGGGACCTTTTTAGGATTCATGTTGTCCCGACTGGATTTCTCGAAGACTCATCATCTCCCGAACTCCTTCTCCGGTGGGAGTCAAAGTAATGTATTTAATCTTCCAGTCATCCATCATAATTTCCTTTCCTTGCTGTCTTCAATAATTCCCCTCAGCCCATTGTTTGGATAGTTGCCCGATTTAATACCGCATCCCGGAATGTTCTCATCCCTGCTAGGGTGCTCAATTAGTTACCGCACTCTCAGCACCATCGAAATTGCTTCTCAACTTCAGATTCAACGGTTAATCCCGCCTAGTTCACATTCGATATACATCATTGGAAATGGCTTTTTGCCGTACCCTCAGTCAAGTTAGGGTTTAACCACGTTTCACCACGCTCCGTTACATCCCATTAAGTTATAATTGGAAAAAAAAATTATCGGAACACTAGATATTTTAAACTGGACAAATTCTAAACGCCTTTATTAACTTACTTATATTCTAGTCAATGTATATCGTACCGAAAAAAAATCGGCTTTTCTATTTTACCAAAATGTATAAAAAAAGCCAAGTTATCCATTTTGACTTCTGGTAAACTTTCTGTGACCAAAAAACAGTTTGAAGTTTAAGCTTTCGTAACTAAAATTTATTTTGAAGAGATTTTCACTCAAATTTAACCACTATACCATTTCTTAATTAAAGCGCCTTGAAGTATCTTTATATAAATGACTGAAAACTGTCGTTTGGCTGATTTATCCAAACTCTTTCAATCTTCGCATCAATATTTACATGTAAACAAAAAGTAATTCAAAGTAGTTGATTATAAATTAAAAACGCTGGACGCCCAGGTCATTGCTCTGCTTTATATCCTTAGGTTTGAAGAAGGAAGGACTAAGCCACGAACTTCTATAATTTTTATCAACTTGGCCAACAAATCATTAAAACAGCTTCATTATTATTCATAACTCTAGTCATAAGAGGAGGTAAATGATGAGAACAAAAAATGTTTTGAACAGAAAAGGTGAATCAGTATTTAGGGTGGTAAAATATAATGTGCCGAATTTAAGTATATTTAAATACATAGTTTTGGTGTAATTGTAATGACAAACCATCATCAGCAACATACGTTGAGGGAATGTGGTGTCATACAATTCTGCATCAATCATGACCATCACTTTGTCTGATACACAAGGAAGACATACTTAAAGAAGGGAAGAAACAGATAGATAGATCACTTCGTCTTGGTTCACTAAATTCGACGAAGAATTGAAAAACATGGCTTTTACCTATTGGCTTCTAAAAATATTTTTGGGTTAAATAAAAAAATTGAGGGAGAAAAAATAATCCATTTTCTTGAACCCGACTCTTCATGAGCCCTATTGATCGGACTAGTAGCTGTTTTCATTTTTTCGAATTATATGTATACTTAATTCATTCCCTGACAATCAAATTTTCAGAACAGAACATTAAAAATAAATTGTTACAAATTTTATACAATAATATTGAACGCATAATACCAAAAGAAATTTTTTATTGATTATTTGGTAATTGTACATGAAAACCACTTAGGTGAGAAAGAGGAGAGAGAGAGAGGAAGTGTGAGAAGGAAAAAGAAAATGAACGACAATGAATGTATAAATAAACGATCGATGAGTTGACAGCGCAAAATTTAGGAGGGAGAGGGAGGAGAAAGACACAGACAGACAGATAGACATAAAGAAAGAAAAAACGAGAGAGAGTGGAAAATAGAGAAAGACAGACAAGAAAAACATACCTAAAGAAGGGAAGAAACAAAAACAAAAAGTGAAAGAGAGAGAATGAATGAGCGATCAAAATATACAATAATATTAATTAATATTAATAAAACTAATCACTCTTTTATCAAACGAAAGAAAGAAAGTGCGTGAGAGAGACAGTAAAAGACAATGAATGTATGATTGAACGATCGCTAGCGCAAATTAAAGTTCTACATAGATAGATAGGTTAATTGATATATAGATAGAAAGAGAGAGAGAGAGAAACCTACAGAAAGATGAAAGATAGACAAAAAGAA